ATCAGGCTGGTGGTGTTGTTGCTCCAGCTGAGGTTGTCATTCATGTGTACACCCAAGTACTTGTAGCTGGAGACCACTTCCACCGCAGATCCTCTTATGTTCAGGGGGGTGTAGGTGTTTTTGTTCCTTCTGAAGTCCACAATCATCTCCTTTGTCTTCTTCACATTGATGTGAAGGTTATTCTCTCTGCACCAGCTCTCCAGGTGTTCCACCTCCTGCCTGTAGCTGGACTCATCATTGTTTGTGATGCATCCCACCACCACTGTATCATCTGCAAACTTTACAATGTGACAGCCTGGATGGGTAGCTGCACAATCATATGTGAGCAGAGTAAACAGGAGGGGGCTCAACACACATCCCTGAGGAGAGCCAGTGCTGAGGGTTATGGTGGAGGAGGAGAGGTTGTGGATCCTCACTAACTGTGGTCTGTTTGTTAAGAAGTCTAGTACCCAGTTGCAAATGGAGGGGCTTAGTCCTAGTGTGGATAGTTTGTCCATCAGGGTTTGGGGGATCATGGTGTTGAAGGCGGATGTGAAGTCCACAAAGAGCATACGGACGTAAGAGTTTTTCTGCTCCAGGTGGTTGAGTGCAGTGTGGACCACAGAGGAGATTGCATCCTCTGTTGATCGGTTCTCACGGTATGCGTACTGATGAGGGTCCTCGTTGATGTTGATGGTTGTTTTGATGTGAGTCATGACCAGTTTTTCGAAGCATTTAGCGACTATCGGGGTGAGGGCCACTGGCCGATAGTCATTCAGACCAGTCACTGTAGAGCTTTTTGGGACTGGGATGATGGTGGCAGTCTTCAGGCAGGTGGGAACTGTCTCCAGGGTAAGTGAGGTGTTAAAGATGTCTGCCAGCACCTCACAGAGCTGATCAGCACATTCCTTCAACACTTTTCCGGGGATGTTGTCTGGGCCAGTTGCTTTGTGCGGATTAATCCTCCTGAAGGTACTCCTTACTTCTGCTGAGGTCACGCTGAGATGCTCTTCATCCGGTGGTGAGGTGAGTCTGGTGCTGGGTGGTCTGTTCGGGTCTTCAAAGCGTGCATAGAACTTGTTGAGGGCATCAGGCAGAGATGGGTCTTTGGGACATTGTTCACTCCTTCCTTTATAATCTGTTATGCACTTAATGCCCCTCCACATGCTCCGAGGGTCTTGTGAGATGAATTGACCCTCGATCCTCTTTGCATATGTGGCCTTGGCCCTCTTAATACCAGCAACCAGCTCTTTTCTTGTCCTACTCAGCTCCTCTGAGTTTCCAGACCTGAAGGCAGTGTTCCTGGCTTCCAGCAGGGTACGCACCTCTGCGTGCAGGTATATTTATGTATGTGCAGGTATATTTATGTATGTGCAGG